TGACACTACTAATGACAATGGACAGGAAAGGGATAACATCTGGGGCGATCAAAGGTTTTACTGTGTGCTGCTTTCCTGTGTGCTGTGTGTGTGTTTTACTAGGGAAACATACTGCTTTGTATTTTTCTGCTATGCAGAGCAATACAAAGCAGTGTGCTGGAGCTGACAGGGGAGAGATCTGTATTGTTTACATACAGGTCTCCTTCCTGTCAGTGTTCCTCGGTTGCTGGTGGGGAATCTCTGGCCAGGACGCGGTTATCACCAGCTGTAGCTGCCAATGGAAATACAAAATCACATGTATACGTGATTTTGCGCAGCCCTGCTGCCCTGTAGCAGTAATTCTGCTATAGGGCAGTTGGGAAGCGGTTAATCAGCTGTGCTCACTTCTGTTAATGAATTAACTGTATCTATTGTGAGCCTCTGCAGCCAACGGCTTGTAGTCCTCAGTTTATTGTGAGCGTGCTGGTGATTCAGTTCATTGATTCTTCCTGTCATTCAGTAACTGCTGACTGAGAGTCTGCAGGAGCCTGACATTGCACCCATGATCTGCTGATGGCGGGTGCAATGCCTCACAGGCTGCAGAGTAAAAAAATAATAAATGCATTTTTTTTTACATGCAAAAAGATGTGCATTATTTTTTTAAAGAAAAATAGAATTGAGCTTTCAAACATGTATTCAAAAAGGCATTAGCAAAGTGAAATCCTAATGGTTGTTTTGGGTTATCACCTTCTTCAGATATTTACTGCTATATGTACTGCTAGCAATATGGACCTGAAAATATTTAATTTTCATCAACAGATGTAGTGGTCCCTTGTTTACACATGTAAGGCTTGTCAGTAGCAATGCACGGTGGTACGTTTGCAGTTTGGCAGCTAAATCATTTCTGGTTTGCTGTGCTTGAATTTCACCACAAGGTGGAAGCATCTTCCTGTCTGAGAGTTGCACCTTGCAATCCATAAAGGTCCTAGTACAAATTTTGTGTTTCAAAAATCTTGAAAGAATACCTATAACTTGTAGTTAGGATTGAACGCAACAGAGGCTTTGTCCATGGTGACTTTGGAAGGCCATAGGAAATTTCTAGACATTTATTCTCATGTTGTGGCATCCAAGACAAGAAATGTTTTGCTATAGTGGGGGTTAACTTGAAGTGCACATGTATAACATGTTTGTGAATCTGATGTTTTCAATCCAAAGAAAAGAAAAGCGCAGGTGTTTGAATCTGTTCTGGAGATTGACCTTTTTCCTGTCCTTTCTTTCAACATGTGCACCCCAGCATAGCTTTCCCTCTCCTATCCTCCCCTCCCCCATTTTTTTCCCCTCTCTCTTCTTCTCTATGCCCTTTTCTGTACTTTTCATGTTCTTCTGATCCTCTTTTCTCTTCCATGAAAATTGGGTATCTGACTAAGCACCTAATGTGGCCGGTAACCGGCAGAATGGTAGCCCAGGGACATTTATGACTATCACCTACGGTTGCCACCAGGGGCGGACTGACAACTCATGGAGCCCCGGGCAATAGGGGATCATGGGGCCCCTGTGTCCTTGCCCAAACTCAAAAAAGCCTATGAAAAATGTACCAGGGGCATCTCATGGGGCCCCCTACTGACCCCGGGCCCTCGGGCAGTGCCCGAGTTTCCAAATGGTCAGTCCGCCCCTGGTTGCCACTTCATCCCTTTAAATCCGAACACATATTAATTACACAGGTTCTGCAACTGATTTAATGCAGATAAAGCACTTATGCCCCAAACACGCGTATGAAAAATTTTGCTGAACCACTGATCGAACAATTTTCTCTTAGTTGATGAGTAGGGTGTTTTAAACCGATAACGATATTGTGAACAAAAAAATCCGGTTGAACAACAGTGAAAAATGTCGTTTCGCATACGGATGACCGATTTTCTATGCATTGGTATGACGGTCATACAAAAAAAATCTATCAAGCGCTATCACGCATGAGCGGAAACAGAAGATGACCCGGATGTTTATGTACAAGGAATCTTCGTAAGCACGAACGAAAAAAATCCAGATGTTAAAAGTAGATTGGCCTAATGATATAATGAAACCAGAATTCTGCATATTATATTTTATGTATCACTATTTATGTATATAGATAATGTAATAAACGATATTATACTCATTGCTGTTAATTGTTGTGTATATCGCTCGTTCTGGCCAGAAGGGCGTGGCTACAAGGTCATACGCACAATGCATCACTTCCACTTGTACGGAAGATGTCAACACTATGTATTGCCCGACAAACGTTTTTTTTTTTAGATTGGTTAATGTAGGCCACGATTTTGACCAATGAACAAACGCCTCTCGGTCATCGGATGATCGATCAGTCGATTTTCTAATCGTGTATTCACACCTTAAGTGAGTTTATTACCACCTTAATCAGCCACAGAACCTGTGTAATTAATATGTGTTCAAGTTTAAAGGGATGAGGTAGAAACCCCACTATCACCTTGACCTAGATCTCTTCACATTTTTCAGACACTGTTCATACTGGCATTTGGTATATGACATTCAATTTGTAATTCTGCACTTTGTATTCCATGTACATACACCGTACATTCTCTTAATGTATTGTACTAACCCCTTTTGAGAAATTGCTGCTGTTCCTTACTGCACTGCTTTGTTGGATACTTTATGCAGCTGTTTGCTTTCTTAGAGTTTCATGGGTCACGGGTTCGGTGTATGCACGCAGCATCTTTTCACACGCACTTTACATATGTTTTTCGTTGAGCTCAGTGTAATACAAGTTTTGATGGAAGCTGCATTCACAAAGAACTCTTCGAGACATTTTTTTTTTACAGCACTGCATTCTTAAGGCACCCATAATTCACAGATGTGAATGGGGCCTTAGACTTACATTCACACTAGCAGTTAGCACACTCTGGAATTTCCACATTCAAAAATCTGTGGATTCCTGCATCTGGAATGACAAGTATGTTGAAATAGCTGCATGAATTTTGTGTGCGTCCAGCTATAATCACTGCATTTAATCATCAGCCCAACAGCAGTCCTGGTGGAATTGTGCACATATACCCAGGTATATATGTAGTTATTTAGCAAAGATATCTAACCATACTCCTGTAGGGGCTACTGTTGATCAACAGGTTCATTCCCAAGTAGTGTAAAGGCAGCCAGCTACACAGCAGCAGTCCACTCACTCCAGCTCATTGAACAGTCATAGGGATGTCTTTTTAAACTTTATTTGCTTGTAGAATTAGTAACAGGAGGGGATTTGGGAGGTATGGGATGTTAAGTATTAAGCCGTACAAATAACAGGTAGACTGGAATAGTCTATAGATTCAAGGCTGGGGACCATAAAGTAGCAATAGCATAGGTAAGGGCAGACTGGAACAGTCCACAGGTTCATGGTTGGGGACCATAAAGTAGGTTAGACTACAGGTCAGAGGCTCTGCTCACAGAATCCTGCAATAGTGTCAGTCTATAGGTGCAGCCTCTTGTAGAGTAGTCCAGCATCCAATCCATAGGGCTCCAGTGGCAAGTAGCCCCCCCTCCATTCAGCATACAGATCTATTCCCATTGCTGGGAAAAAAAGCCAGCCTCCTCAGGGCTCCAGGCTATTGACCCACATCCCAGCCACTATCTGGGCACACCTCCCCTAGGAATTGGCTATGCCTTGCTCAATATTCAGGGTGGCCATTTGAATTTTTCCTCCCTAAGCTCTAGCAACCTCTTCCAGGGGCAGGAGGAAGCAATCAGACTCCCAGCCTGTGAATCCCTGAACAGAGAAGACCAGACCAAACAAACAAACACTGCTCAACAGGTTCTTTCCTGATTACAGATGAAACCAAGAACTAAATTTACCTAGCAGCCTAACCAGGAGAGTGCTACAGATACATCTAGATAAAAGTTGAAGCACAATCCGGGCGATGATTGCAGGTGGATGTCTGTGCTGGTTCCAAAGAGCCCAATACTGGGTCAGTGGTGGTGCGGAGATCCTCAACCTGCACTTGACCAGCCTGTTATGCAGCTTCTTACTGACAAAGTCTACTTCTCAGTCCCTACCAATTTGTAATCTGACATGCAACCAGACCTCTAGCTACCTTTGGGCTGTCAGATGCCTAACCTGGTTCTAGCTTATTTATATATATGTAAATTATGTAGGGCAGCACCTCAGTAAGCTATGTGAATATAAATAGATAATGAAATCAACAATAACCCCCATTTCATAAATAACATAAACCATAAACTTAGCCTCAAATAAAATAAATCCCTTAGGAGACAGGATGCGATTCAATCTTCTTCAACCACCAGAAATGTCCTCCCAGAAAGTGTTTCAACTTTTCCTTTATTTACTCCACCAAAAATGGGAATTCCTACACTACAAATGGAAAGAGCACTCACCTGCTCCTCATCCACTCTAACTAATGAAAGGCAATAGCGCTTAATATCTAGATCTTCTAGGTTAAATACACTCCCCCCTCCTTACTGTTTTCAGATGTCCTATCACAATGTACTCAGATAGTATTTTCTCCTCTAGGTATCTCTAGTAACATACACAGCCATCACATGAGAAAAAAAAATTAATTGCATATAGTGTATATTCTTAATACATTTAATAAACTCATCAATAAAAATCACACTCATATGATTATAAAATATACTGGCACTATGTGAACAAGCCTGAATAACCAAGTGTAACTATCGCTCTTTCCCCTGCTGGCTTTCCAAGGCATTCCTGTGCCTTGATCCCCACTTCATGCTATGATCACACTATCGCTCTGGACTTACAGAGATCCTACTTGCAGTATGCATTACCAAGCTCCATCCTGATGCGTTTTGTAACAACGCTCAGTCAGGAGCAGAGAAAATTCTACTCTACCCTATGATGCTATCTGAGCCCTGTGTTTAATCTTGCTAGAGAATCCCAGACCAGAAAGGATAACAGTTACAATGTAAGTGTAAAGTTAGTAAAAGGTCCACTTTAAAGAAAGTGTATTTTAGTTTTTCAGTTTGAATGGGCACTGATGATCAGTGTGCCCTGATGCCCCCAGCAGTGACACCTGTCAGTGTCCATCAATGCCACCTGCCAGTGCCCATCAGTGCCACATCAATGCCACATATCAGTGCCTGCCAGTGCACATCAATGCCACATATCAGTGCCCATCTGAGCTGCCTTTCAGTGTCACCTATCAGTGCCAGTCAGTGCCACCTATCAATGCCAGTCAGTGCCACCTATCAGTGCTGCCAGTCAGTGACACCTATCAGTACTGCCAATCAGTGACACCTATCAGTTCCAGTCAGTGTCGCCTATCATTGTCAGTCAGTGCCACCTATCAGTGTGCATCAGTGCCAGCTATCAGTGCCGGTCAATACAGCCTATCAGTGCCGCCTAACAATGCCAGTCATTGCCACCTAACAGTGCCAGTCAGTGCCGCCTATCAGTGCCATATATGAGTGCTGCCTTTAAGTGCCCATCAGTGATGCCTGTCAATGCCCATCAGTGCCACTTACCAGTGCCTCCTCATCAGTGCCACCTATCAGTGTCCATCAGTGCAGCCTATCAGTGCCCATCACTGCAGCCTCTTTAGCGCACATCAGTGAAGGAGAAAAATAACTTATTTACAAAACTTTATAACAAAAACTAAGAAAAAAAAATTTTTTTCAAAATTTTCAGTTGTTTTTGGTTTGTTTAGCAAACAATAAAAAAAACCCAGAGGTGATTAAATACCACCAAAAGAAAGCTCTATCTGTCTAAAAAAAAATGATAAAAATTTCATATGGGTACAGTGTTGCATGACTGTGCAATTGTCATTCAAAGTGCGACAGCGCTGAAAGCTGAAAACTGGACTGGGCAGGAAGGGGGTATAAGTGCCCTGTAGGCAAGTGGTTAAATTTCATTTTATGATTACATGCTTGGATTAATTTTTTTTTTTTCTTTTTATACCTGTTTTTTATTTCTAGGAAACATTAAAAGGAATCATCCCTCTTTAAAAATATAGCTATGTTCCCTAAAGCTAAGCAGTTCTTAAAATACAGTGTAAATAAATTCCCCATAATATATGTACATTGATTCACCTAGGTTGGTTCAAGAAAAGGGTTGTTTTGTAAGTGTTAATGCTTTTTTGCGGTGTTCAGGAAATACAGCATTTGCCGCATTCGGGGAAAATGTTGGTGTACATTTGCAGGGAAGCACCAATGCAAAAAAACTCCTATAGTAAATGAACCCCACTGTATATCTATATAATTTCAATTATGAACTACACTGCTTTAGCAAATTTATAATTTGCCAAATGTTTTATGAAATAAAGAACAGCTCCTTTGTTGAGCTCTCAAAAGGAGAAGTGGAAAGTAACACCAAAAGTACCTAAGTTACCAATAACATTTTAGATTGGACTTTGCTTACGGTTCATTGACTGTGCAAACTACCCATAATAGATAATGATATTCAGATTTTATTTGTTGTTTTACTTAAAAAATGTCATATAAAGAAATACAAAATTTTGCTGTTTGCTAAATTTAATAAGTATCTTAAAGTGAACCTATCTTATGCAAATGCAAGGGACTATCCCCACCTTCAGCCTATCATGAATGATGCTTTCGGTCAATCCCTCCTTTGGGTTCCGTTCAGCCAAGAAATTCAAAATACAACATGCAAAGCCATCCACACCTCTGCCCCAAGCTGCATTGTCAATCTTGTCTAAAAATATTGCCCAAACTGTTCTCATTATTCCTCCCAAAACCTCCTACTAACTCTTTTGTCACTTCCTCATATGTTCACCTCCAGAACTTCTCTGGAAAGCCTCTCACATCCTATGGAGCACCCTACCCTAATATCTCTGGCTTTCTCCTACCCTGTATGGGTTTAGGTGATCCTTGAAAACTCATATCATTAGAGAAGCCTATCCTGCCACTACCTAAAAAACAAACTTTTACTTTCTCCATCAACTCACCCCTCACATCTATTACCTTTTGTATTACTTGACCTTCCCTCTTAAACCGTCCATACATGAATTGAAATATGGCTGGTTCAGCATTGACTGGCTGAACTTCAATCCATTTAGGGGTTAGCTGGTTGTACACAAATAGATCTGCCAGTTGACTTGTGTACAACCAGCTTGACAAGTTATTCCAAAGCAAACATTGCCACCGGCTATAGCTGGTAACACGGATCATTCTGCCAGCAGGGAAGTCTTCCCACTGGCAGAACATGATAGTGCTGTGGAAAGGATTCATCCATCCATTAGCACTAAGTGTTTTGACGGGGAAATCGGCACATTCCTTTTTTGTTCAACCTTTTGGATGAACAAAAATAACTATATAATGTATGGCCTGCCTTAGATTGTAAGCTCTAAGAAGCAGGGCTTCACTAATCCCCTTGTATTGAATTGTACTGTAAATGTACTATCTCCCTTTATTTTGTAAAGCGCTACACAAACTGTTGGTGTTATATAAAATGTATATAATAATAATAATAATTCCATACTCATTCAGTCAAGTTACATTTCAAAGGGTAGTGTACTATACTGTATATTAACATGTAACTATTAACTCAATTAAAAACAACTATTATTATTATTATTATTATTATTATTATACAGTATTTTATAAAGCACCAATAGTTCGTTCAGCGCTGTACATTACAAAGGGGAACAGAACATGTGACAGAACAATACCAATACAATGCAAAACATGAGGGGATTGAGGGCCCTGCTCTTTCGAGCTTACAATCTAGGAGGGAGGGGATGGTGGCACAGGAGGAGATAGCTGTGGGGGATGGAGTGGTAGGAAGAGTGGAGGAGGTCGGCAAGTTAGCAGGGGGTGGGGTAGGCTTCCCTGAAGAGGTGGGTTTTCAGGGTGCGCCTAAAGGAGAGAGGAGAGTAGGTGATAATCTGATGGGTTGGGGCAGGGAGTTCCAGAGGATGGGTGACACCCTGGAGAAGTCCTGGAGGTGGGCATGGGAGGAGGAGACCAGGGAACTAGAGAGAAGGAGGTCTTGTGAGTAGCGGAGTGTGCGTGTTTGGGTGGTACTTGGATATTAGGTCCAGTAGGGGCAGTATGGTGGCAGGGGCAGTATGGTGGTCAGCTTTGTATGTCAGCGTTAGGATTTTGAATTTGATCCGTTGCGCAATTGGAAGCCAGTGGAGGGATTGGCAGAGGAGGGTGGCGGAGACGGAGCGGTTGGAAAGGTGAATGAGTCTGGCAGCCCTATTCAGGATCGACTGAAGCGGGGATAGCCAGCGGCGAGGCAGGCCAGTGAGGAGTGAGTTGCAGTAGTCAAGTCGTGATATGATGAGGGAGTGGATGAGCTTTTTAGTGGTTTCTGGGTTTCTGGCGATGTTGTGGATGTGGAGTCTGCACGAGCTTGTTAAAGATTGGACTTGGGGCTGGAAGGATAGGTTTTAGTCCAGAATGACACCAAGTACTCTGGCCTGCGGGGCGGGTTTGATGGTAGCGTTGTTCGATGTGATAGAGAAGTCAATGGGGGGTGGTGTCCGGGCTGGGGGGAAGACAAGAGTCATAAATGGGTAGGACGATATCCTTCCTGCATTTCTCCTTTATGTTTTAGTAGATGAATACTCTGTGTTCTGTGGATTCCATTAAAAGTCTTAAAGTGGAACTAAAAGTTGCTTTTGTAACAGGTGCTGATAGGTAGCCTTTTTGTATGACAGAAGTGACTGTATATGTCTCTTCTGTCGTAAGTGGTTTTCCCTGCTTATTAAGGCTTTTTTCTATAATGCATATAAGCTTCTCAGTGAAAACTCTTGGCAAGATTATTTTCTGGTACATAGTAACTCCTATGTGCATGAGTGGGAGTTACATCATCTGGGCTTAGCCAATCAAGAAACTGAAGACTATTAACTGGGAAGAAGACAGGGAAAGGATGGAAGTAGTAGCAATGAAGGGGAGCACTAACATTGCAGCCCTGGAGGGGATCCATTTGCTAGGCCAGTCTACCATAATGAGCACATATGCTGTGCATATTTGTACAGTATGGCAAAAAGCTTCTGGGGGACCTAAAATGTTTCATGCAGTCTATCAGTTGAGATCTGCTTTAACTTATGGATTTTAAAATAAGACTTTTCTAGATCCATGCACAAATTGGCCCACTACTAATTAAATATTAATTACATGTACTATTTTTTTCCATGTTTTATGTTGCTAAACGGGGATTTCAGGAAAGGAAGTCTATGTGCTGTTAAATTAGGGGCTCTAAAAGGTAGCATTCCAATCCCCAGTAATATAGGGGATTTTTGTCTTTGAAAGTCCCTTCTTTAGTAATTTACTCTTCCGAGCATTACTTTTGCAATAAACCCACTCCATTCGGTGACACACACACTTCATAAATACATTTTAATGGAACTAGGGCGCTGAATCCAAAGAGCAGCGAGTACGCTCAGATTTCACCAGCTGCTGATCATGCTTTGTAATTCTGTGGGATCCAAGAAGCTTCCATTGCATTTTTGCTTTGTCTTTATCATCACTTATCTAACACTAGCATTACAATCTGTATCAATAACTTTTTGTGGCTATAGATTGTCTGCACCCAAGTGACTAACCCCAGTATTTTGAAACACGGTGGGAGAAATTATATTAAAATGCTTTTAAAAATGGCACATGCATGGACAAAAACATCACATCAAAAGTGTCTGAATGAAGAGTGCCTGTGTTGTCCAAAGTAAACGCAAACTTTCTTTTTAGTTTTAGATAGCGTGGAGGTGGATTAGAACACCTATCAGATGTTGCCCTGTGACCATTATCAGAGAAAGTGAAAGAAAAAGAAATCCTAAATTTTGAGTTATTCCCAAAACTGGAATAGAGGGGTAACTTTCCAATGGGGAAACCAGTTCTGGCGACTCTGGTGAGAACCAGAGACTTCCTTCACTTTGATTTCATCTAAACTCCTGTTGTGGCTATGGGGCAGGAAGTGAGGAGACATTCCCCCAAAGGGAACAGAAGGCACAAAAAGACTGACAGGCGTTATTACCTTCCCATACGCTAACGAAAATGATGACAAATGGCTTTAGTTCTATTTTAACAATGAGTTATTTTTTTCACCTGATGCTTTGTTAAAGCAGGTTAAAAACATAAAGGAATTTTTTTTAACAGATAGCACCACTGGAGGCCTCCATGATTTATCTTTTAATTGGTCATGACGCTGAGCACAGATACAGCTGTGCTGGGGTTTTTTGCCTTCCTCTGGATCAACTGTGGGTATAGGTTTATTACTTCTTTTTTTAATGGTTGAACTGGATGGACGTTTGTCTTTTTTCAGCCAGACTAACTATGTAACAGCATATTACCTGCTTTACTAAGCACTGTACATCAAATCGTTTACATCAATACCTGTCACCTAAAGAAGCAGTCAAACTAATGGCCTTACCACAATCATGCACAGTGGGTAGGAGGAAACACATCATCCAGACCCAAGTGGTTGTACCAGTAATGAGTGATCCTATCTCTTGTTATGGCATCATGCAGGGTAGCAGTGACTAGAACTGGCAGTATAAGCTGTCATTATGGCATCAAAAG